TTAAATATTTTATCCAGTTCAGAGATATACACACGTTTATCAGTGTAGAATCTACTTAGCGATATTAATAATAAAAGAGAATATCGCTGTAGTTAATTGCTGTTTGATTGAATATTTACTTTAATTTTTTAGTTGTCGTTTAGTGTAACAAGGAATTGCGGAAAGAAAATGGAAACATAAGATATCAAAATTACACCAATAAATGTAAAAAATCAAATTCAGCATTTTTCAATATTATTTATATTCTTTTCGTCTATCAGTATTCATTCGTCTTCTGCACAAGACTAATAGAAAAATACATAAGAAATATATGAAGATCGCCGATATATCTTCAATACACTATGATGACGCGAAAGATGTGAAAGTGTGTCTTTTCATTTATTTAATAATTTAATAAAGTTTAATTTCTTCTATAGAGTAAAATTTATTGTGTTTTCTCGAAGAAGATCGTAATGGTTTTCCATTATTTGTCCTGTCTATCATAGGCCTCAAGTTGACAAGATTTTGCAAAAATTGAAACTGGGAAGAAAAAAATGATGGTAAATCAGATGATGAAAGATGTGCAAATTATTTTTCATACTTACATGTTCTTCTAGGACAGAATCTAGCCGATTGAAAAGTTCCATAACGTGCATATCTTGCGACAATAAATAATGTTGATAGTGTGAGTCGAGAAGCACACAGAACCATTCATACAACTGTTGATCGTTCGGCTGTGAACTATCGTCAAGCGAATCCGTTTTCTCATTCAATTTACACATTAGATATTCCAATAATTTAAGTACTTGGTCGAAAGTTAAACCGGTTTTCAGATGAGGTAACAATGAAACACTGGAATAGCTGATACTAAACACTCTGTCGAGAAAATTATCTCTGGAATAGGGATTACTAGCTTTCAATGTGCTATCAGTTGTGCCATTTTGCAAAGGAACGAATACTTTATCTGGACTTTTTAAGGTAAATACCAAAAGATCCACTAATAACTTCTCTGGCAAATCTTTAAACGTATCGAGGCACCAACAGATCGACGCAACATCGCCAGATTCCATCAATAATGGGATCACGGTCTCTTGTATCGCGGAATCGCTCCATCCCTCGTTCAAATAAGCGCAGATCTTTTTCGAGATATTCAAAGGTATTTGATTTATCGATGCGTTTCTCGCCAATGTTCGATTCTTGTCCCACTGAGCCACTGTCGCTTCTTGTATCACAATAATATCGTCTGCATCATTACTATCATTGTCGTTCTTGAAGCGCAAAGACGAGCCCAACATAGCGGCTATCCTTTGCGGCGCCAGGTGATAGGGTGCGACGGCCAAATGTCTGTTTGCTGCTAGCAATAATTTGTCCTCCACCTTCCAGAGTTTAGCATCGTTGGTGTAAAGTTTTAGCTTCTGCACCGCTTGTGCCGATTTGAATTGTACATTGTATATCATGAGTATTGCCCCCTCGTCCGTGACATCAGCACCATAAATCGCTATAGTCGTCTCATTAAGATGCGTCATAACAATGGGATATTTCGTATTGATATTAGTAATTACACTGATCAACTTATTAGATTCCATGTCGGAAGACGTCCCAGTCAACAAGTAACTATACAATCTACCGTGTGACCCTAAAACAATTGCATAATATTAAACATGCGTGTTTTCTTAAAAAAAAGAGGAAGGGAGGCAGCGGGACCTGATGAGACATTTTAATACATACATAAAGTCAACAGATACGCATCGTTCTTATGATGTATTACAACGTGTCCCATAAGAACCTCTGACTTTCGTTTTAATTCTATCCTCCTGATAGTATCTGCTTTCTCTAAACAGGTACCGTCCTCCAATCCAACTACTACACAGTTATAGACCTCTTCTATTTTCGTCAAGCAAAACAAACTCGTCTTTCCATTTGAATGTATCAGCTGACAGTTGAATAATTTCTCCTTAGCCCTAATTATACCCTTGCTTATCCATGTCTTCCTGTTGTTGATGGCCCATTCTAGGGTAGCCGTAGCTCCGTTTTGCTGGACAAGAATAGGTGACGTGTCACCATGTGGTAGAATAGCATAAAGCGGGGACGAAAACTTGTGTCCCTTCACGTTGTTCAAGTCTGCCTCCTCTTCCGACCAAACCCGAATCTTTCTCTCATTAAAAGCAGCAACGTAACGCTGCTTGAATCTATCATAAATGACTTGCGTCGTCAATCTTTCTTTGCTGGACCAACTGCTGATCTGTTTTAAATCTTGTAGCTGGAAATACATACGCGTCAAAATATTTCACAATTAAAAAACATATTTAAAACACGATAGTTAAATCTCTGTACTATATATATATATATACACATATATAAAACCTTATATCGTATAACTATGTTCCTGCCGAGAGTCACTATCGCGCAGCCTGGTTCCTTATCCTTTTCGACGCCGAGTAAGCTCTGCTGATCGATAAGTGGACAAAGCGTGTAGTACGAACTGAGCTTTGCCATTCTTGTAACATGTAAAGCCTTTTTTCTGAATTGGTATCGCTTGTCTATCTACTTGTATCTGTATTATTAAAAAAAGAACGATCAGATCATCAGATGAATCAGATCAGCACTCGTGCCGCGATTCGAAACGCATTATGTAGTTGCTTTGCATTTACACCGATTGTTAAGTAATTCTTACTTGTGACGTCTCATCATAACTCGGTTGAATGCTCAATTGAATATTCCTTTTGCATTCTGACAAGTGAGTTTTTGTCTAAATCTGCACAAGATCAAGACCGTACGCTTTATTAGTAAACCCGTCCCAGAAATTCATTTTAAAAGTGAGGTTATGAATCTGTGTTAAGTAATAACTTTTTTATCAAAATAAGCAATTAAGTAATGACATCATTAATTTGAGTATAAAGTAGTCGGCTCATTTCAGACTAAGTTTTACTCGTATATAAATGGAAAGCAACTATCGCTACCATCAAATCCAATCGCTATTACGTTTTCCTCGTTTTCTTCGTATCGTTCAGTATTGTTGGCCCTACTACCTACTACTACTACAGGCCTACAGGCAATACAGACTACAACACAATTAGAGAGTGACCAACTTGACACGTCACACGTGAAAAAGTGCAGTCTGCCGAATTCGCTATAAAACTATAAAGTCACAAAAAGATGCTAATGCTTTCCAATTAGGTACTTGCCATATTTTGACACAAACGTAGCAAATTAATTGACAAATTATTTTCAGTATTAATAAATAATTTAACCTTTTTAATTACATATTTTTTATTGTCACGATAACCTCATAATCTTGAAAGAATCAATAGAATATTTATTAACACACGCGCACACGTTGCACGCTGAAAATGGTTGCGTTCAGCAAACCAACAGCAACTGTTACGGGTTACGGAGCGGATCCGTGAACGCTGCTGCTATTGGTGTATTCTTTTAGATCATCCAATAACAACGAGTGCTCACGAATTCGCTCCGCAACAATTAAGTGATGCTGGCTGAACGTGATATGAATCAATATGAAAATCGATTTTATTGTACTTGATTGCACCAATTGCTGTAATATTATATAGTTTTAAAACATCTAAATTAGAAACTGATTCTATATTTAAAATATCAAGTAGACCTTAAGTCAAAATCATCATTATTAATAAAAGATGTGTAGGAAATTTATATATATGTATATTGTCACATTTTGCGCTCATTCAAATTTTTGATTTGAGACAATAATAAGTATCTCACTAATTGCCATATCCTTGTTTTGGCACTAGATTTATAAGTGTCACAAACGTAATTAATAATTCATGTAATGGAAGGCAGATGTAAGTTTTACAAACACAGATATTCAACCACCCTAATCCTTACTAACTGATCGCCACCTCCAGCATCAAGATGTTTACTGTTTTGAAATGCGACGAGACGACAAACATTCGCGTAATCAACATATGTATGTACGTTATTGCGTGCTATTATATTATACCGCCACAAATATACGGTTGATAAAGAAGTCAAAATCGAGAAAGGTATAGCCAAAGCCTGCGATATACATATACGAAAATTTAAGGGATTTCTTTACCCTCCTTGTCGCATCGAATCTCATTGTGCTGTATTGTGAAACGAACGGCACAATAATCTACCAAAATGCGAGATTTCTTTTATAAGCGAGTTCACGGATAGAAATACGCCCATTGACATACACGAGAAACTAATATATGGCGTATAATAAAGTATTCCTATATCTCTATACATTTCAATTTTAGCTGATCACAAGCATATTTGTGCACACGCATCATTCCCAGATTCAATGCATAACCCGAGAAAAAATGTTTATATATATATATATAAACTTATATAAAAATATATATAATTTTATATAATTTTATATATATATATATATATATATATTTGGACATATTTTACATATAATTGTATATAGAGGTCTGATAAAAAAATAAGCGAACTTTTTGAATTAATCGATCGGCAACAGGCGTCCTAGCGACGTGCGGTTTGCAGCACTACAATCGTTATAATCTTCCGAGTACTTAACTGACTTTTTTTAAAATTGTTTACATCTCCTTTAGTTTCAGAGTTGCTATTTGAGTGCAACGTGTTTTACTGTTCGTGGTGATTTTCGCCTCGAAATGAATTTTTGCAATTTTTGCTTCAATACATATAAAATTATATTAAATTATTTATAAAATTATATATGTGATTATATATCTAGAATTATACATAATTATATGAGTGCGTTCCATTTCACGCATGATGCACATGATGTACCATTTTATCTTTCTTTAATATTCGATGAGGATAAAATGATATATCATGCGCATCATGTATGAAACGCATCTTAATAAAATATGTCCATTTATATCCAAATATATAAAATTGTATATAATTTTATCTAATTATATATAAAATATTTTTTCCCAGCCCTTAATCTTATATCTATCAGTATACTTCCGTTATGTACATACATGTTTCTCTAATATGAGTCTTGTGATTATCAACAATTAATAAGGGTTTTTTTGCTACCAATAATCATTCAAGTTAAAACAATTTATTTGGTGAATTTCTTATCCATCCGCGGTAAAGATAACAAAGGTGCGAGATTATAGATATTTCCTTGACGGTTTTATTTAATTCGATTTTATTACAATCTTTTATCAGAATCAAGAGAATAGAAATATTTCCAATTCTCTGGTCGTATTTCTTTCAATTTTTCTAGCAGAAGTAATCAAAAAAGATGAGTTAAGTTATAATTTTACGTACTCTTGCGTTAAGACGGTCAAGGCTCGCTTCAATTGAGTTATATCTATGAATTTTTCTCTACTTTCAAACTAGCCGTTTGGGTTTTTTTAATTTTACACACACACACACACACACACACACACATATGTATTGTACGTGCATGTATGTGTGCGTAATATATCACAAATAATATCTCTTACCCTCACATTTTTCATTCATGACAACCTGCCGTCAAGATTTCGTACGTCCTATGTAGCAAACGAGCGTATAGTTTATGCAGATGTTCCCAAGAGTTTGATTCATCCTGGCGCTAGTTTTAAGCAAGACTCTGTGGGGGCCACTGGATCTATCAGAGCCACCGGATCAGAGCGCTATACATATAAATCTACAAAGCATGAAACCCTCGCAGCGGGGTTCGGTCCGATTCATAGGAAGCAGGGAGAAAAATGAAAATGCATTTAGTCTCTCCCTTGCAGTCCCCTGCTGGATACGATTGAAAGTTGTCAGAGTGGGGATGAGACTATATAACCCTAGGATGAATCGCCAAGAGACAAATCCTTCGAGGAAGACGCGCATGCAATCGAATATAACGCGAGAATGAATTGTGACAAATCGTTATTCGGTAGCCTCGAAGAAAGAATATAATTTGTGTAAATATCGCTCATCGTTAATCGATACGCCGAGAAAAAATGGATATTATATTAGTGTTATCTATCGTCATTACTATTCTGTCAATGAGTAAGTATTTATATACGCTAAATGCGTTATTCATGTGAAATGCGCGATAAGAGGACAATGAGAGAGAGAGAGAGAGAGAGAGAGAGAGAGAGAGAGAGAGAGCACCTTCGTGAATACAAGTTGAATCAAAATTTCCATGACGTCGATTTGTATTTAAAATATGATAAATTATAAATGAACTCCCCTATACACTCGCCATATAGACTCAACAATTAACTATAACACTTTTTTCCAAAGCGATCGACGTTGTAAAAAATATAATATCGCGATAACTTTTATGTACGTGTTATAAAAGCGACGAGGGATATGATACATTGAAGTATTTGAAAAAGAGGAAGTTGAACATGTGTGTCTAAGAAGGGACACATGATCGAGTCACACGTGTGCGTTACTAATTGTAAGAATGTACACATATATGCTATATAGTTGCAACGATATAACGTAGGATATGTAAGTGTGAAATAAAATTATTTCATTTCAGAAAGAATGTTTCTAATGAAACTATTTTCAGATGATAATTAGTATAAGTAGGTATTCAATTTATAATTTTATTTACATAAATTGAAATTTAATATATAGAGAATACAATGAATCCGATACCAAACAAACGATTAAATTTGTTTAATTTCTTGAAATTTTTTGACAAGAGAGAGAGAATCTAAGATCGTATTGTGCCAAGATGTTTGCATTGTCGTCGTCGTTCCACCAACCACATCCACTATTGCATTATCAATCGCTCTCCAACGCTTGGAACGCACAGACATGGAATATCAATTGCAACAATCGTAGAGATAAAAGGGGAATGATGAAAGTGTGAGAGACGCCTGCACGTCAATCGAATGTTAAATAGTCGATCGTGAGGGCATACCGAACTCTGTTCTTTCTCGCGTCATTTCTTACAATTAACAACCTCCTATTGCAAACTACGTGTCTTTGCCTTTCGGCACTTAATCATCTTGTATTATGCGTGTCGATTGTGCAACATAATCGACACATATGTATACATATGACGTACAAATTTCAATAAAGTGAAATTTTATCTGAAATTAATGAAGCAATTTATTCGTTTTTCCTTTTTGTTTAATAAGCAAATCAAATGAAAGAATTTTCTTCTTTGATAAATTTACTATTATAAAATTGTAAAAATATATAATCGTATATGTATATTATCTATATATATTCATACATTTCTACTTAAATTTCACTATGCCTATTCTCTTTTTATAGCAGCGTGTAAGATAGCTCTGAATGGATGTTTCTTGTTACAAAATGATATACATACGTATATCTAACAATCCGATTCTTGACATTAATTATGAAATTATCTAATTATAATCTTTCTTGTGATATGGTCTGCTCTTTCATAAAAAAAATTTCAAAATTGTCAAATCTGAAAATCTCGTGGGGACAAAAGTCGTAAAGACGTGATTAACTCATCGTGATTAGCGAAAAGTCTACTCAGTCGCGTTTAAATAGAAAACTTGAGATCCCTTTTTCATCAGTACATTATCTAAACATAATGAAATATATTACAGATGAACATAATGCGATATAGATATACGTATATAAATAACATCATAAAATTCGTCTTCCGTCTTAATGCCTATTTAGCTTCCAACTACTATCTCAGTGGATACGTGATCTTAATTCTTTTTATCCGATGGTTCGTGTCTTCCCGTCGTGTAAATACTGTATAAGTTCACTAGCGATCGAATTTCTGATCGAAGCATTCTTCGGTCGTTCGTATCTTTCTCATTACGAGACGCAAGATCGCATCTTTCATTAGTTTATCTTTTTCATATATTGTTCGTCATATTATTGATCGAATTATTATTATAATATATTACTTCTGTTTCATAGCGAGAACGAGTTACACTTTAGCCCGAGATTCTGCAGAATCCGTAAATTCGTGGGCGCAATGCGAAACAGCTATCAAGGAGATCAGGCGAGAAGACCGTGCGACAATTGCGGATGATAGTCCCTCCAGATTATATTCTACGTGGCTGTCTCAAGAGTAATTTTGTGTCTCTTTCTTACAAACTGTGAAAAATCTTTATAAATGCGATTTGAATCTCAAGCAGAAATTGTAATATATGTGTATTTTATATATATATATATATATAGTGAGAGCTGGCCCTGAGTATATAATCAGAAAATACACATTTTTCAAAAACGGCACGTTTCTCCTGTTACGTTATCATTATGCCGAAGAATCGTGCAGCATAGCGACGCACACTGTTACAATTCGCGGTTCCATCAAGTTGCTAGGATCGTCTGCCGTCGTTTCTGGCGCTACTGAAACGAAATTTCACGTGGATACCATTAATATTGTACCTTTGAATCGGCAGGGATAATATTTCCATTTTGCAAATCAATTAAATTCGAGATGAAATCAATTCATGAGATCAAATCATTTGCGAACGTAAAGTAAAATTATTGTAAATATAAGAGGTGGATTGTGCATCATTAAACGGTGATATCAAAGACATCTTAATAATGTTATACATAACAGTTGTACATAATAATGTCGTTATATAAAAGGCGCAAAAGAACGAAATCAAATTATTCGTAATTGTTTAATAAAAATTAATTTCACAGGTCGCTCACAAGTTTGGGCATAGATTGAACCTGACTTGCGGTCCCCAGCCAAAATGGCGACCTTACGTTTCCGAAGTGATTTACGAGCAGCCACGGCAACGCTCGGCGGCGTCATCGTGGCAAGGTCCAATCTACAATTCTCTGCAGATACACTCGTCTGCGAAGAAGAAGCTCGGTATGAACTGTTTAGAGCCTTTCGGGATCGAATTCGCTGAATTGAAGTTGTTGAGAGTGCAGAAGAAATCGTTTGGAAGCTCGTCCAGCAATGATCGGTACCATAAGCTTCCACAATTTCAACTGTTTTTAGCCAGTCCAACACCCAACATTCATTCTCGCTGGAATTACAAACCGACTTCCTTACAGTCTACCGCTATGATCCGCGCTGATACGGTACGTTTTGGCTCTCATGTTCTTTTTGCAGGCTTGGAAAGTAACGCGTTATCATCATTGTTATTCTTTTTTCTATCTGTAATAATAACAGTAACATTTATTTATTTATTTATTTATTTATTTTTTACAGTAACGGTAACGAATTTAGCATTACTTTTATCGTTACTCAATCTCCTATTAACTTTTGTACGTCTATTCGATAGATAGCTAATAATAGTCGGATCACTTCAATTTGTGACTTATATTTTCATAATTATAATATTCCGATGATAACTTCAAAAAGAGAATTTTAACTTTGAACTTTGCTTTTTCTCGTCATCCAATAATGAAACGATTAAAACTCACTTGACATTATATCATGACACAAATAAGATGTATTGATTCCTATATACTTTTATTTATAAAAATAAATATTTAATTATTTTCAATAAAAATCTTAATTATTTTTATTGTGTACAACCTGTGATATGATTTGATATTTTTGATGTATTGTATTTTTCTTTCTAATGTTTAAGAATTTTGCAAAATTTATTTAAGATAATTGTTTTCAATATAAAGAAAAACTTGCCACGTAGAGACTAGGGTAGAATTTTAATATTAATTGTTATATATACATATATGTCGATGTTACAGACGAGCGGTTGCCCGATATGCAGCAGCGTGTCTCGGAGTACCGAGTTCAGTCCACCTCTTCTTCATCAAACGGCAGCTCTACCCGCACTCATCGGAGGTTATTGGCACAGCGAGAGATGCGAAAGCTCCGACGGCGGTGTCTGGTCCAGACGTCAATTTCAGATACACTCGGGAGATAAATTGTGGGCCGGTCAATGGGACTATTACAATGATCCGCAATGTTCAATGTTTTTGTACGCGATAACTGCAGCTGGAAGTTACATCCAGCGAACTGGAAGGCAAAGACGTCACGAACAGATCGATGATCGAGAGACTTTTCTCGGTCTAGACTATCTCAATATCTCCACAAGGCTCTTGTTCAAAAGAAGCGTTACCAATTCGCCAACTACTCATCATACTGTACAAAGCGTTATATTAGATCTCTATCGAAAGAAATTTTATCTCGCGAAAAACGGATCGGAAAAGAGGCGGCCAGTATATACAATACAAGAAAAGGTACAAGAAAGACAGGAAAGATCGCTGGCTGATGACGTTCATCGACTATTGCGCGACGAACAGTCTATAGTTGAATCAAGATTCGCAGCGATGCTACGAGGTCATCAAGCATACGACGAGACCACTACCAGAAAACCTTTTCCCACCTGGAACACCCTCACTGGTACTACGGAACTGGATCTACACATTGCCGAGAGCATTTTGATTCCTGGAGACGTCACGATATCTACTCGCTGTAGCACTGATCACGTTGATGCCGCCGATCGGCGCAGGTTCGGCGTGCCGCTCATCACCTGGCCGAGAAATTGCGTACCTCACGCCGTCGAAGCGCCCTCCACGTTGGGACTGCGGGCCAAACTGGGCATTAATTGGAACGGTCAGTACATCCTACTGTTGGGCTCGCGAGATGACAATATGTGGGAGGCTCCTCTGCGTCAATGCGCGCAGATTCCACCTCACAATTCTGTTCTGCGAGCGCATCTTCGGAGAAGCATCGGTCTTCGATTCGGACTGCTCTCTGCTTCAGCGTCATCGAGTCGACTCTCCGCTTGGTGTCTCTTATCGCGAATTTTACTGTGCTCCATATATTACCTCGTACGACGGTGATATCCGCCGAATTGTTTACTTTTACTAAGGAGCATTTGGATTCTTAAGAAATTTAAAAAAGATATTTGATGTGGAATACTTTACTTATTCATAATACATGGAGCTTAATAAACATTTAAAAGTTTTCTCTTCACGTTTTCTCTCATGGAAAATTTCGTAGGATCATAAGCTTGTACATATGTGTAAATATATTATAGAATCGAAAATCACAGCAGTAAAACTTCCACGATAAAGTGGTGTAATTAAATCAATTATTATTATCGCTGTGCTTTCGTTGCGTGTTTGGAGCGAAAGTTTAAATCAATCAAAGTTTAAAAGAGCGCTATATAATAATATTGTTCCGTGAACAAAGATAGCCATGATTACGATGATTGTACGATTGTTACGGATAAACTTAGAGTTTACATTAATAATTATATGCTACTCTCTGCGATCGTAGCTGTAATTTAATAAACTTGAGTCTCACACACACTATACGTTGTCAATTCGTACAACACAGCTAGAGCCAATAATATCCTTTCAATTATCCCTAGCGCCGATTCTAATTCAAATCCTGTCGGATTTAATAAATCCGACGTACGTAATAATTATGAGTATAGTTCATCACTCTCGTTTTCTCACACACGTCTCTACTTTTTCATTTATTTCAGTCAATTGCTCTAAAATCATTAATCAAGATACTAAATAGTTAGTAAATATCAGTTTCATCATCAAAGCCCGTACTTACGTTATCATATGTGTACCGGGGTTATAAATTAATCTCTCACGGTGGAATTATGACATACATATGACGGTATATTTGCAAGTCAGCAATACCAGATTGCGTTTGTTCCTCATTTCTTACACCAGACGAATAGAGATCAGGGGGTGACGGACGCAAAGGACGAGAAGTACACTATATGTATCGCGTATCGCATTATTCGTTCGGTACTCGTAGGAAAAGGTCGATTCGTTGATTCATTCAAAATTCACTCAAGAGACAAGACTAGGAGAAAACAATGGAGAATCCCTTCGCCACCAACATCACGTTTAGTCAAGAAGCGGAGACTTTGGATCGTTTTATGTTCGGATGGTTCGACTACACGCTCTTCAGTCTGTTGCTGCTCGTCAGCGTTCTTATCGGCGTGTACTTTGGCTTCTTCAGCAAGCAAGACAGTACAACGGAATATTTTCTGGGTGGTAAACGGATGGGATGCTTTCCTGTCGCAATGAGCATCATCGCTAGGTCAGTGACTCCTCGCTTCTTTTTGATAAACAAGCGGATTGAAAGAACTTTATGGAACGCTATTCTATGTTAGAGATACCAAATATCTCGCATGATCAATATATTCCCCCCGGTCATTTTCTTTTAATTTACACATTTTTCCAGATCACTATTATACGAAGAAATATCTAGAAAAAATACTTTATATATATATATATATATATACATACATACAAATGTGTGTGATGTGTGTGTGTGTACATATACACACACATACACAAATATATATACACCTGTTTAGCCACATCTCGGGTATCAGCTTGCTGGGCATCCCCACGGAAGTTTTTCATCACGGAACTCAGTATGCCGCGTGCGTCTTCACTGCAATTTTCACTTCTGTGATCACTTCTTACATTTTCCTGCCAGTGTTCTACAAGTTGCAACTAACCAGTACCTTTGAATATCTGGAAGTGCGGTTCGCCAGACCAGTCAGAATCCTTTCTTCAGTGCTGTTCACTGTCTCGCTCTTCACGTACTTGCCCATTGTCGTCTACGTACCTGCCCTCGCCTTCGCCCAAGTCAGCAATTTGAGCGTTCACGCAATAACACCGATACTCTGTATCGTGTGCATCATTTATACTAGCATTGTAAGTGCATGAATAGTGAAGCGCAATCTTATGCCTCTGGATATGTTAATGTTTCTGAAATTAATAACAAGAATCGTTGCCATATTTAAATAATAAATCAATGTTGTGTTCTTACATTCTTGTACGACAAAAACGTATAATATACATACATACATACATACATACATACAATATGAATAGTTTTTAGTCAAAATAGTTTTAGAGTGGAATGAAAAGAGATTTTTATAATTCGAGTCATTTATTCTTGATCAACAAAAACTTTGAGATTTATACACATTACTATATATACATATAATATATTATACATATATACAGGGTGTCTTGTAATGACGTATAATCTGCTCTTATTGAGCAGATAGAGCAGACTAAACTAAGTCGAAAAGTCCTTCATCATTTTGCAATTTCCGCAATATTTAACGAAATATTAATTTTTAAACATTGCAGAATAAATGGATAATCGATGCACAAGACAACTTTAAGATATTTTTCAAAATTCTTTATAAAATATCTTAAAGATGTTTCTTGAAAAATTCTTAAAGAGGTCTTAAAGCTGTCTTAATTATGCGTCGATTTTCGAGACATTCTGCTCATTGAGTAACTAAAAAAAGAAATTGCGAAAATTAGAAAATGGTAGAGGACTTTCCAATTTAGTCGGCCGCTTTACTGCCCACGAGAGATTATATATGTATATGCGGTTATTACCGGACACTCTGTATGTATAAAATAAAATTGTCGTGCATACAGTAATTAATAAAAGTTGTAAATTTTGAAATTTTATATTTCGTTTGTCATTAAACGCTTTTATTCACGCAGGGCGGTCTAAAGGCAGTGGTATGGTCGGACACTATACAATTTTCCGTAACCGTCGGAGGACTTTTTTCGGTTCTTGTACTGGGGATAATGTCTGTTGGTAGCGTTGGGGAAGTGTGGAGGATTTCCGGCGAAGGCGGTCGTCTCATTTTCTTTGAGTAAGATAAAAAAAGAATAAAAAATAAAAAAAAAAGATTTTTTTCTTCATTTTATTATTTATGTGTATATTAATTTATTAATTTAGTTAGTGCTACATTTTAAGAATGCTTCCTTTATTAGCATGGATCCGAGTCCGTTCGCGAGGAATACTTTTTGGGGTATGACTATAGGTATGACAACAATATGGATCGTTGACGCTAAACAGTAAGCCTTTTTCAATCTATTCCTGCGAATTGTAAACTCGTGCCTTTAAAGAATTAAAGCGAATTTTAGAAAAGCCAGAAAATTTTGTTAGCAAAATAACGTATGTAACGATACATACTAGCTTGATCAAAAAGTTTCCGGAATTCATTCAGAAAATTCAAAATACAAGTTTATTCATCAAAAGTGATATTGTCCCCTTCAAAGTACTCTCCAGCGACTGCAACGCACTTATGCCAGCGCTTGATCCAGCTCTCGAAACATTTCTGGAACTCTATTATTGGTATAGCCATCAGAGCCGTCTTCGATTTTTCCATTACCTCCTTTCGGCTGTTAAAACGCGTTCCCCGCAGTGGTTTTTTGACTCGATCGAACAGAAAAAAATCGCAGGACCGTTGTAATCCATGAAAACCGTGAGCATCGCTTTCTTTTTCGACTGAAAACGACGTGGTTTTTTTGGTCTTGGCTCATTTGGAGCTCTCCATTCACTCGCCTGATGTCTGGATTGCGTGTCGTACTCATAAACCCACGTCTCGCCTCCAGTAATGATGCGTTTGATGAATGTTGGGTCGGATTCAGTCTTGGAAATCATGTCTTTGGCGATGTCAACGCGGTCCCTTTTTTGCATGAAATTCAATTCCTTCGGGACCAACTTTGCAGCAACACGGCGCAAACCCAAATCATTAACTACAATGTCCTGAACGGATCCATAAGCAATGTTTAAGTCCTCTGCCAGCTCTCTGATAGTTAATTTGTGGTTATTGGCCAACATTTCTCTCACTTTATTGATGTTTTCGTCGGTTTTCGATGTCGACGGCCTGCCACTGCGTTCGTTATCCTCGACGGATTCACGACCACTTCTGAAGCGTTCATGCCACTCGTAAACGGTTGTTTTCTTTAGAACATCACTGCCGAAACAGGTTCCCAACATTTCCAAGGTTTTCACACCATTGAATCCATTTTTAACGCAAAATTTAATACAAACTCGTTGTTGCAAATTCAACTCCATTTTTAACACTGTAAAAAATCGAAAACACGCGCAGAGGTAGATGTACTCAAGACGGCGTAATTTTTACAAATGTCAAGCTATGGCGATAAAATTTGATGGAAATGTCAACGATAGATGTGGCAACCTAGCCAAAAAAAAGAACTCAAATCAGCTGACTCAGGGCATCACCTGGTGGTCTCTTCCGGAAACTTTTTGATCAAACTGGTATAATCGTTTTCTTTTTCTGCATACATAGCGGACTGGCGATTACGGCGGTAGGAATGATAATTGTCAAACTGATCTGCGTGTTCACTGGATTAATCATGTTCGCGAAATATCATGATTGCGATCCTTTCCTGACCAAAGTATGTATGATGTATTTACAAATGGCGCGTTTCGATTTTTTTTGTTTTTTTTTTTATAGTTAAGTTTAAGAGACGAAAATGTTCGTCGATCTTTCTATTATATTTTTCTATTATATGCTATTATATGCGTTTTATTACACGTAATTATGATATCCCGATCGCAGAAAGTTATAAATTTTTTCGTTCGAACAGTCGATAAGTCGTACCGACCAGACTCTACCGTACTACGTAATGGACGTTGCTGGACATCTGCCAGGACTTCCGGGATTATTCCTAGCTGGTCTGGTGAGCGCTGCACTCGCGACTATGAGCGCCAGTTTGAACACCGTGTCTGGTACCATTTATGAAGATTTTATAAAACCATGGATCCCGGATAGTCCCAAGAAGGAAGTTACAGCCGCCAACATTATGAAGGTATGTGTTGACATAATTTTTATTGCCCTCTTAAGAGGGGAGTCTTTTTAAAAAATTGAGGATTAAGATTAAGGTTGATTAATCTATTAATCTGTGTGTGTGTATATATATATATACGACGTCTAATAATTAACGATAAAAGTCTTACATAGAGGCAGAATGGACTAAACTGAGTAAAAAAGTTCCCTAACATTTTGCATTTTTCGTGAGGTGCACGTTAGTTCACCTAGGCACGTTATGCCAATGTAACGCTTGTAAATAATGTGCCTCAATTCTATCACTTTGCGAGAGTTTTATCGTTAATTATCAAACATCCTGTGTGTGTGTGTGTGTGTGTGTGTGTGTGGTGTGTAATGAACGTGTTTCTCATCAGGGCATCGTTGGGATAGCCGGAGCGATTTCAGTTGGTCTGGTGTTTCTGGTCGAACGACTAGGACCAGTCTTCCAAATAGCTGTAAGTACGCGTGGCATCACCGACGGACCCTCGTTGGGCCTGTTTGTATTAGGAATGCTAGTACCGTGGGCAAACACGAAAGGTGCGTTATTCGGCGGTTGCGTTGGTCTTATCAGCATGCTTTGGCTGGTAGGAGGCACTCAATGGTACACTATGCAGGACAGAATTAAATATGATTCGTTACCCACATCGGTGGCTGGTTGCCCATATCCGTTAAATCAGACTTTTTCAACCACGATAAGGCCTACTTGGATGAACTCTGACGAGGAACCTATGATACTCTTTCAAATATCCTTCATATATTATATCTTGATAGGAGCGGGAATCGTTGTCATCGTCGGCACTATCGCGAGTTACTTCTTCGGCGTAGATCTCGAGGGCGTAGATCCCGATCATATTACACCGATAATGAAAAGGTACGATACCATATATAATATTAGATATATATTTCCAACAACTTACGTGTACCGACGTTATGTCGAATTATGATATAATTGTTCGAATTCCGAGTAATGAGTTAAAAATTTAAGAGAAGATAATATTCTAAAATATTTTATTTATTTTTATTTATGAAGAAATACAATTTTCTTTTTTACTTTGAGTAATTTTTTTTATTGTCTCATATAAAATAACTTTTTCTCTTATGATTATGTGAATAATTTCTCGAATAATTTCTGTTAGAAATTGTCCTTTGACACTTGTCGCACTGTCCGATATACTCGTATAAAGAAAATTTTTGCAAGATTTCTGAGCCGGAAAACAAGATATGCGCGAGATATGAATAAGTACTCCATCCATAATACTACATATTTCGTTTTTAATAACTATACTACTTTGTATAATAACTGTAATTTTTGTCTATATTTTTTTTTCAGGAAAAAAATTATCATTTACAAACTAATATTTTCTTTCAAAATCAGGAACAGGAAGATGATATTCCAAGCTCTAAAATATATAGAGAAAAAACAATTCATTAACGCGAAAAATTGCTATATATGACAACATAAAATAAGTTGATAAAAATTATTTTCTCGAAAAAATCCTGTATATGTATATATGTCCATGCTCCCTATATAAGCATTATCACGATATTGACACTTTCTTTGTGTAGTATAGTAGAGTCTCTCAATTCAATTCAATTTAATTTTTTAGATTTCTTCCTTCTCGAAAATATGCCGAAGTCTCGTTAAGAGAAATACCACCATCGCTGGACATTACGCTGGAAAAGACCTGCAAGTGATCACGATCGCAGTTTTGTGATTATTTATGTCAGTGATAATGCAAGCTCAATCCGAGAAATTTTCCGTAAGTGAACGATATCTTGATTCTAGATTCTAGAAGAATCTCCACATCAATCATACATGTATGATCACCAACGATATTTCCAACTTCCAAGTCATCTGACCGGTCACGACAACGGACAAAGCAAAGGGGGTAGGTGCGTGCAGTAGGTCTCTTATTGATTAATAGACGCATGCGCCAACTATCCTACCACACATGGCACACATGGCACACATGCTAGATCGCGGTTGTTTTCGATTTCTCATTGTCTGCAGTATTGTTCCCAACGTCTGTTGCGACTGTGACTTCTCTTATATAAAATATTTTTAACCAGCAAAAGGACATCAAGAGAAATTGCGAGACAGATGATGACGTCGTATTCTGGGACGGAATAATCATCATCATCATTAAATTCCGCTCAACATTGGGGAAAGAAGAACGTAGAATTTTAGCTGTGCGATTGCTATTTTTATAATAAAATTTGTCAATGTTGTTAGGTGTCCACGATTTCCAAGTTAACAAATGAAAGATATTGAGAAGAGCGATTTATGTAAATGTAAATGTAAATGTAATACTTAATTATATATAAACGTATGCTACGCATGATCCAATGCGATCGAAATCTGCATCTCCGTGGACGTTGAAGATCAAGTTACGTCCCTGAAGATCCCTGTGTTGATCGGGGTTGCTCGCTCGGGGATGAGGCCGCGTGTCGTGTCCTCCGCGCAGATATAGGATGGCCGCGCCTACACGTGGACCGAGCATCGTTGCGACTCGCGACGAATGTAGAGCGTCATCTATTTCAATCCGATCAGGCTCAACGTTCAACAAGTACGAGTGCCGATGTATCTCGCGGTATCATTCCAGTGCAGATTTAATTCTCACGCCGTTACAAGCGGATAACATTTCCTCGTGTAACACCTCGTCGCGAGCAGTACCTACCTTCGAACGATGAACCGAATGGATCACCATCGGCACCGTCAGGACCGTGGTCATATCGACGTACACGATTGACGTACATGAAAGATTACTACGTGACAAACTAAAAAGTGCTATAACAAGAAAATTTCATCTGTGGATACGTATCCACAAGATTCAATATCTCTTTGCATCAGAGCAAGAGATTTATGACGGACGCCGCACGGTAGGCCATTATATGATGGATTCTAATTAATTGTTAAATATCTGTCTAAATATTCTAAATAAGCGATTGCAAAGCGGTCGTATCAAAGGATAACTCTTATTCTCTTCGTACATTTTCGCCCAATTTGACACTCAAAACTGAATAATCTAAAGCTAAATAATCACTGTTCACTGTGAACTTTTACATGCTGAATCACGTACAATCATCTACGAGTCTTACATGTCTACAGTACAAATGCAAACGTTTCACATAATTTCACTGACACTTGAAGATTTAGTCATGGTGCAAATGTGACACTACAATTAATATGGTTAATTGTTCGAGGAAAGTCGATGAAGCACAAGAATTTGGATAGATTTGGCCGATGAAGGTAAATCTACTTGGAAGAATTTTGAAAAATCTCGGTTGTTGCTTGATTGGCTAATCGTTAAGCAGCAGCAAAACGGGTGGCATGCCGAAACACAGCCGCGCCTCGCTTTTAATAATAGATAAAAAGCGTAGGCATTTGTGCCGGAAAAAGAACAGAAACCGAGAATATCCTCACAGAGAAAAGATAGGAAGGGAAAAAGAGAGAGAGAGAGAGAGAGAGAGAGAAACAAAGAAAAAAATGAGTAGCTTTCAGTTTAGCTGAGCTAACGAGAAAAATGCAAGTCAAATATCCGGATGCAGATTATTATCAGTCGTCACTATCTGTGTCTCTTAGTTTATTTGATCGAATTTTAATTAACTGGACGATATCATCCAGTCATGGAAAATAATAGAGAGACTGTTTATACACATGACTAGAATATCGAAATAAATATCTCTATTATCGATTAATGAAGAAAGATGATTGATCGTTTCTCTCTCTCCCTCTCTCTCTCTCTCTCCATCATAAGTGGATGATCGCACAGATCATCGAACGGAAATGTCTTGAAACATCCATAGTTTTCAACGACTTTCATTGGAAATGTTATTAAATTACGCAGCTTTTTCTTTACTGCATATGGGTTCGCAGTTTACGCGTCGCACAATCTCTCCAAGTGCCAGATAATTAATAATATAGATAAGTATCATGTGTACAATGATTTTCTCTTCTTCATTAACGAGAAAGATCATCATTATTAGATTCACTTTCGAATCGAAACTGTAAAGACACCGAACGACGATGCAATGAGAGGGCGAGATATACTATATATATTTGGGTATATTTATTCCTTGGAAATGACGTTGCCATCGATGCAGAGAAGCTTATTGGGCTTAACAGTGCTGACGATCGTCGGCCTAACGACTTTCCTGCTTAGCAAGAAGCTCACACTGGAGACGCGCAAGCGAGATGGCCTGCTCCTCGACATGATCGCTAACATTAGCGGCCATTTGGATCAACTTGACAGCAGCTTCGATGACATCGCCGCGCAGACGGGAATTGCGCGGAATCGCTTGCTACGACTGGTTGCGCTCCATCGAGAAAATCTCTTGGTATGTGCGTTACTCGGCGAGAAATGGAGACAAAAGCAAATGCTCAGCATCGGAAAACCGATGACGATGATGACGAAGAGAAGAAAACGACGTCGACGGTTCATCGTATCGCACTATCATCGATAATCGATGTCCGAGAGATTTTTATCAGACGTGTTAGAAAATATGGGAGATATAATTAGATCAACATGTACGTACGTACATATGTATCGCCAAATTACCTATGTTATTTAATTTACTCAATGATTAGGAATGATTTTTCTATCTATGTATTTGCTGTACCGATACTTTAATTGTCAATTTTGCGAGTCTCATTATACATTTTTATTTTTCTCGATATCAAGAAATATGTGTACGTTTCATTTTTTTTTTCTTTTTTTTAAGGAATTCAAGGGCTTCACGCGCTTGTGAGAACTGTTAATACATTCTGTCTCCCATTTAATTCAATAGCCAAGTTGCTCATTTACTGTCAACTTATAATTGATTAATGATTAAAATAAATCTAATCGTATCGTACTATAGTCTATAGTAGATAAGTAAGAAGGACGAATTAATAATTAATTCGTACTTGGTAAGACAATCATCCGTTCACGTGAGTGAATCGAATTTCTATTCAAACGAAAATACCCGTATAACGTGAAACATATCGTAATGTTAGATAATAGAGTTTATTTTTAGAATAGATGATACGACGAGTCGATCAATCAACTTATATATGATAACCAAATGTTCAAGGTGGGGGCCAATTAACAAATCCGCGATCACACGTACGCAAGAAGACTTATGAGTGACTATTATTTCAGATTCCAAAGTATTAAGATAGATTCGAAATATGTATAAAACATGACTGTGATCGAATAATATCATTCATCACGGAAACAATATTGTTGTTACAAATCTAAACGATTACATATACATATAGAAAAGCGAGGATTGTCGAGGATGAAATTGTCAAACTTGAATTTCGAATATTTAAGCGGACTCGCTTACTCTATGCGATATTATGCGATAAATATTTATCTATATAAATTTTCATTGTAAAACATCATAAAACGTTCTATTCTTACTATTAGCGTTTAGCGTGCTATCATAGAATATTATCTGTTAAATGAAAAATACATACGTGTCAAGTATTCGCATTATATAGTAAATATAGTTAATTATACGACCTGTATAGAATATATACAGATTGTTCCAGATTCGCGAACGAATGTTTTCGCCGATTTCTCTGCCGAGAAAGTTTCTTTTTATTGTGAAAGGACGTAAATGCGCACGTACAAAAAAGCAGATTTTACCGAAAAGAAAATCTCATCGGGAAAAGATCAGGTTCATTTGAAAAACTTATCGAAAAAAATTGTTAAAATTCTTAAAATACTTTTCACAAGTCTCGAGCACTTTGTTGACGTATTTATAGTACATACCTAATACCTATATTACAGCGGATCGATTTAATACGACACGCGCAAGTATAATCTGGTATATGTATTTACGCGTTATCAAACTTAATCGGATCATCGTCACGATTCGCTTCATCACTCGCTGTACATATTTTTACTTAATGTTTACTTGCCATGTGTGCATATGAACACGCATGTACGCGAGAGAGATGAATATTATTCTCCAGCTCGTAGAGATTGTGTAATTGTATGTAATTATTTTTATAACTCTCTCGAAAAAGATGCCAATAAATCATTTATGTGTATCTTGTTCACTTTATACATATATGTATATTTCTCTGTCTCATATATAATCGTATAATTGAGCGATTGTCAATTATTCGCAAAAAGAGCCTAGACGCGAGCCTACCTGCTAGTACGATTTCTCTCTCTCTCTCTCTCTCTCTCATAATTACATTAAGAAATGATATATTCTTCGATTAAGCTTTCTTTTCATCACGTTTGGATTCTGGACAACTGTATGTATAATACATAGGAGATTTGACTCTTTGATTTTTCAAGCTAGAAGCAATCATATATCTTTTTCACATAGAACAATTATTACTTACCATCAAGACGATCAATTTCAAAATCTCATTAAAATTTATTACTTATAAAAAATATTTATTCTGCAACTTATTCTAAAATATATATATATATATATTAGGTGTTGGAATTAATTCGTAGCGTTTTACAAGTGATGGGAAGTACTTTCATTAATGTATTTTTTAATGCTCATGTGAAATAAATAACATTCTTTCATTAAAAAACGCTACGAATTAATTCCAACACCTAATATATATTTTTTTTAATTGTAGATGTGCTTATATAACACGCCGTTATACGTACGCTATCTTTCTGGCTAATGATAATGTCTCTTATTAGCATAGTGATGATAATCCTATTTTGTACCGTCTAAATATTGTAATATTGTTGATATTTTACGTGTTGTTGCGCGCCATGAATAAATAGTGAGAGATATAGTTTGTGGTGCAACTTTGATAATTATTTTCTCGCTATCTTGCAACATTCTCAATCAGTTATTCGTATATATAGTCAGTTTGTTACGACTCTCAAAGTGATATCGGTTTTTTATCACGAGAGATCCCATTCCTCCATTAACATCGTTAATCGTAAACTTCCAGAGTCATAAAATCGCTCAGAGACAAAGTGCGAGTTTCTCCCAACATAAAAGGCTCCCCCTCTTGTTTTCTCGATCATAACTTCGTACTTGGACGATGGCTTCGTAATTCATCGCGACTCGCGCGAGTTCAGCGAGTCTCGACGAATATCTTCGACGGAAATTCTTCGGTTTCTCTCTCGAACGACGTTACACCGATCATACGAGATGGCGGAAAAAAAAGGTAAGTATTCGAGATTGCATTCAATTCAATTAAATCAATAATTATTAATGTAATACTATGATCAGTGTACTAATAGCACTGCCTATTTATATATATATGGTCGATCCAATGATAAAATATAAAATGCGTCGCAACAAAGTCTATATACTACAAGTTCGATAAGTCAATTAATTACTGAATCTATTGACACTCAAACATTAATATTAACGACAAGCAGTCTACTGCAGTGAATATCCCTTGTAGTTAAATAGTAATATTATAAAATATAAATAAGTAGCATAATTTTAATGCTTGCGATGATGATGATGATGATGATGACCTTCGGATCGTAGCGTGTTCCGGGCCAGGTTACAGGAGCCCAAAGGTGGCGATGCTCGAAGGACCTCGCGAGAAACTTTTGTACGTCATTGGCATACATACGAACCCTGACAAGGCCGATGTTCTCTGTACGGTGGATGTGGATCCCGATAGTCCAACGTATTGTCAGGTATAGTCTTCATGTTAAATGCTGATTACGTTATCGTAGAATAATTATTTACAACAACATGAATTTAAATACAAAGTTTGGAAACGCAGATAATACACAAATTGAGAATGCTAATGGCCGGCGACGAGTTACATCACTCTGGCTGGAATATTTGTAGCAGCTGTCACGGATTGTCCGGTCGTAAACGTGATACGCTGGTGTTGCCATGTATTATGTCGGACCGGGTGTATCTGGTTGATACGAGCAATGAGAAAATGCCCAGAATTAAAAAGGTATCGTATAAATATATAAGTATACATCATATATATAATATGATGGCGCGCGTCTGATTCTCTCTTTCTATATGTGTTTATATGTATATATGTGTGTATGTACATATACATAATAATACAGAATATACAAAATTCGCTACAAAAGACATTGTATACCTTGCTAAAGTAATTCTTATGATCGCAAGGTTTTCGAACCGGAAGAGATGCACAAACACGGGATATCCACACCGCATACTTCCCATTGTCTGCCAAACGGAGAGATAATCATTTCTACCATGGGAAATCTTAATGGTGATGGATTGGGTGAATTTTTCTGCATCGATGCAGAGACCCTACGAACGAAAGGCACATGGACCAAGAGTCAAGAAAAAGCAGCTTTCGGATATGATTTTTGGTATCAACCATATCACGATACACTCATCGCTACAGAATGGGGTGCACCTAGAGTTTTTAAGAAGGGATTTATTCCGAAGGATATTCATGACCCCAGTAAATATATATACTTATCGAAGAATTAATTTTATATATAATAATAATCGAGGAAACGCGAAATATCGAGATATCGTCATGCAGTCATGCAGTCGAGTCATCAAATGATTGATGATAATTTGCAGAGATCTATGGCAGAAGTTTGAACATTTACTCGTGGAACGAACGGAAATTAAAACAAATCATTAATTTGGGAGATGACGGAATTGCACCTCTTGAAATAAGATTCCTTCATGATCCGTTGGCAGCCGAAGGATTCGTCGGTTGCGCGGTAACGTCGAATATTTATCGATTTTATAAAGCGAAGGATAATTCGTGGAAGGTCGAAAAGGTGATCCAGGTACCATCGAAAAAAGTCGAGGGATGGATCATGCCTCTGATGTCAGGTTCGTATTACGAATCGCTTCTTTTCAAAATTTGAACGAGATCTGCGATATCTAAAATTATTGCCAGTAGAGATGTTGAATCTGCTGTTCAAACATCACAGGCTTTTTTCTGTTTCCCCCGTCCCCCCCTCCCCTCTTCATAAATTTCCGTTCTTCGCTTCTTAGGTATGATCACCGATATTCTGCTGAGTCTGGACGACAAGTATCTGTATCTGTCTAATTGGTTGCATGGCGACGTTAGACAATATGACATTTCCGATACGAGAAATCCGAAATTAACGGGTCAAGTCTTCTTAGGAGGTTCAATACTGAGCGATTCGCAGATACGTGTGATACAGGACGAAGAAATGAGCAGTCAGCCCGATCCCGTCTACGTGAAGGGACGTAGATTGTATGGTGCGCCGCAAATGTTGCAACTAAGTTTGGACGGACGTCGTTTATATGTAACTACGTCGATTTTTAAACCATGGGACAAACAGTTTTATCCCGAGCTCCTCAAGTAAGTACATTTTTCTTCCTTTTCTTTCTGTGAAACACAGAACAACGTTTATAATCTATATTCTTGTATACGCTGTAATAATATTGGGCGCGTTATTTAGATATGGATCAACGATGGTAAAACTTGATATCGACGTAGAGAAGGGCGGAATGAAGCTCGACCGTCAATTTCTCGTTGATTTCGGCACTGATAAAAGCGATATTTTACTGGCACACGAAATGAGGTAAGAGACATCCCGTAACTTATGTTGCCTCTATAAAATCAAGTCTCATTTATAATTCTTTCAATTTTCTAAAGAAATGAAAATGAATTGAAAGAAATTAATCTCTTGTCGAAATTTATATTTTGTCAAAAGATAAGAAAATCGTAATCTTTTCAGCTTTTTTTTTAAAACAAAAGGTAGTATAAAAGAAGGGCAAAGAGAAGGGCAAAACAATTGTTTTATTTTATTTTAATTGTTTTGTATTAGTTTTGCTTATTTAAATTATAATTCTTTTATACGTTATTGGCTCTTTGCCCTTCTTTTATACTATCTTTTGTTTATTAGTACAGAGCCTTTTTTATTACTTTTCATTTTTTTTTTATTTTTTATTTCGATTCTAATTTCGACGAGATTGAACATGTTTGGTTATGTAAATCAAATTGCTGTTAATTTCTTTTGATTTAATTAATTTCTCCCTTAAATAGAAAGGATGTCATTCCTTATCGTTATCTCTTGTAATAATTTTAACAAGTTAATCTTTACGTAGATATCCTGGTGGAGATTGCACCTCCGATATATGGCTGGCAGAGAAACCTTAACTTTAATGATTGGACTGGACGTAGAGTCGAAGGCATTTCAAATCTGTGAAACTAATAATAATGCAGTAGCTTATATTATAGTATCGTAATTTCGATTTTTCTCCGATGAAATCTCTCGGATCTTTATCATGTAGAAAATTATTCAGAAATGTTCTTTCGATAAGGATAAGAAATATGGGTGACAGAGGTAAATTAATAAAGAATACTCACAGTATATTTTCGTTTGTTTCCATGGTATGGTGCTTATTAATTCCAGCATATTGCATCAAGTAATATAGTAGAGATTTTACATTGTATGAAATTAATGGTGTTACATGATAGATAATGAATTTTTTCTCCGAATTTACACAAATAAAATCCGTCTATGCCAAAATTGTAATTTGTTCGTTGTGTAAAATTTGTCGAAATATTTTACGTTAGAAATAATTCAAAAGTGTATAGCCACGTATAAAATTTCATTGCTCTTCCACATAAAGAATCGCGTTGGCCGATTTTACTTTTATTTCCGTAACAAAATTTCGTATCATCTACAATACCTAATGACTAACATAAAATTAAATTTGCACAATTATCTTATAGAATTCCAAAATTAGTAATAAATGTTTGAGAAGAAACGAGTTCTCGTCATTTTACTTCTGCAATATGTGAGAAAATACTTATTACGCGACAATATTACTTAAATATTAAAAAATGATTGGGCGAAATATGCGACATCAGAGAATAGCGAGGACATATCGAATGTCAATGTTGGTTACGAAGCTGATGAATTTTTTCTTTCGCCCGGATCGTCCGATGTTAACGCCATGTTAGAAAAACTCAAACCGAGAACTCAAAAATCGATGCGGCAAACTTTAAAAGCTACACGTACTCACTACAGAAATAATTTTGTTAATTTTGTCCCGTTAATCGGCAATAAGTTGCGAGATTAAACGCACGAAATCATTAATTTTTTTAAATACGCACGCACGCACGCACGCGCGTCTAAATGTGTATGTACGCGCCGAGTTTGTTTAATTGTATATAACCCAATAATATTAGACTTTTAATCTCTGTTAAACTGAGTCTTTTTTTTCCTTTCTTTTCATCTCGGTTAAAACATAATGTTGCAATGGGGTATGTGTCATCTACATAATCTCTCGGATTCTAAATTAATCCTCAAGTGTGCTCGCGCGTATACACCGTACGTATATCTAGAGTTACATCGGTGCAAATATCGATTCAGATATCGATTAAAACGTCAGGTATGTATTCTCTTCCTGACACGATGGCATTACACGACGGCAAGTTCGTGCAACTCGTATTAGCCATCATACGGTAAATGTTGACAGCGCGACTGTTTATCGCAATTACCGTTATCATCAAGACTTTCATCATCTTCATTATCTTCATCATCGTCATCGTCGTCATCATCGGACTTTTGCCATCAATATCGTCAGCCGAACCTCTCGCGACTACACCGTTAGCGTAAGAATACATGGCCGATTCTATATTTCTCTCAAAAATTCGTGGCTCTTCCAAAAGAATACTACTACTTATCCGCATTTGTTCGAGGTTGCACATGCTCACGATTCTTGTTTCCTCTAAAAAAAAAGAAGGAGGGGAGAGGGAGGAAGAAGGGAAGAGACATTCCATCTTATCGCCAAGTCGACAGTAACAGATCGTAGCCTCGTTTTTGAGATAACTATAGAATCGGCATTCGGCACAGTGGGTTTTCAATTGTCGCGTCGGAAAGATCGATCCACGATCGAGCTATGAAACCGACATATTTCTCGGTTATTGCCGGAAATACTTCACCAGCTGGTTTCGAGCGGAGTGTTTTGTCTCCTACGGCGACATAGGGCGACGTAGGTACGACGGTACGAATTTGAGTACCGTGTGAGACGAGTGTCGAGCCATCGGGGCGCGCAAACGCCAGCCGTCGTTCGTTCAGACCCACGGTGTCCAGCCCTCGTACAACAAGGCCAGATTATCGTTGCTCTGTGCTTCACGTATCACGTATTCCACTTGTTCGGCCGTGGTATACTTGCGTGACGGTTGCGGATCGCGGCCCTCCAATTTCATACGCACGCGACGCCACACGTTCAGCGCGTAGGCGTTCCGCTCTTGCACGGCTACATAATAAGAAAAGAAAGAGAATTATGTTATGAGCGAAGTGTTGTCTATCAGTCGATAGAAAGAACACAAGATTAGAACCTACCCTTGCCCGTGGTCGGATCTCTGGCCAACACTGTCCCCTTCCTCGGACTCGGACATACACTGTTCTGTCGCACCAACTTGCCCTTCTTCCTCTTCTTTCTCTTCCTCGGCAGATTGCCTGCTGTAGGCTTCTCCGCGCTTTTCGTCGAATTCAACTTGCGCTCATTCGCAAACTCCAGCAATCGATTATACAGACTGGGCACTTTGATCGCCATCGCCTCCAATTCTTCCTTCATCGCCATGCCGCGAGCAGAGTCGAAATTCTCGGCTTCCAGTTCCTTCACCGCCGCCGAAATATTCTCCGTGAAAGACCGATAGGCAAACAGATAATCCTGCAGACCGTCGATATTCTCCTGCTTGGCCATTGTCTTTAGCAACGCTCTAACGTCCGACATTAATCGGTGATGCTCAGCGAGTACGTTCTGCAGATTCATCACTCGCTCCCTCAAATAGTCTTCGGCCGTGAAGAGAGCCTCTTGTTTCTCCTGCAGTTTCTTCTGAGTGTCGATTATCGCCTCGGATACCATTTTCTCGGCCTGCTTCAACCATGTGGCATCCACGTTGTTCTCCAACTGCAGCAACTGTACGAGGCTCTCTTCTGTCATGGTAACGGTAATGTTCAGGTTGACCGTCAATAGACAACTCTCCTCCCAGTGCTTGATCAATTTGACCAAGTTGGCATCGTGCGTCACACTCTCCGACGTCCTGGTTCTCAGAGCCTCGTAGTGCAGTATGGAATTGCACGTGTTGACTACCATCGCGGCTAAATTGTGTTGTCTAGTCAATTTATCGCACGACGATAATACCGCGTTGTCGAACGCGGACATGACTTCGCCCAGTGCTGGATTGGCGCCGGCAGCCCATTTGAGACGTTGTACAGCACTCGAAATGAGATTCTGTTGTTGCTCGCGTGCTTCGCACACTCGCGACTGCAAGTTTGACAATTTCGCTGCCTTTTTTCGTAACTCGAGCATGAAGGTAGAGCGATCTAAAAGAAACAAGGAAATTATTTCTGACTTGGTTAAAATTTAAAACAGGAGAGTTTAATTTTAATTCGTTAAACCTCTCTCGCGGGAGGTTCCGTACCGTAGCGATAAAATAAGCGACATATCGATCGATTAAAGGACTCACTCAAACGATTCATCGGATGCATCGGATTCATTGGATTCATTGGATTGATATTGGGTCTCATCATTAGGACATCTTCGTACAACCAATGATAAGCTGTCTGCTGAAGTTGAAGTCTCTGAAGACTGATCCTGGCTACCTTGGCGCTCTGTTGTGCCAATCTAGCAACCTGTTTCCGTCGCCAAGTGCTTTCCAAAGTGCTATTCAACGCACTCCCTTGCGTAAAGACCGAGCCCGAGAATAATCCCCTCTTCAAGCACAGATCTACCATCTTCCGACACAGCTCCTCTAGCGAGACCTTGCTTTCTGCTCCAATATCTCTCTGTTCAATCTCGGTAGTTACATTCAGACCCATTCGCTGCAGCAGGAAACACAGGGCGATCGCCAATGTCTGCGTCGTCACTCCGAGCAATTGCCTCGAAACGTAATCGGCAGTGAATAATCGGACGGGCTTGTTAAGCCGTTCATCGTCGTATACGTTTGCCAATCCGCCCTTGAATGCGGTAGCAATGTCCCTGCACATCATAAAGAACTCTTGTATAGTGTGCAATCTCTTGATTAGAAATATGTCTTCGAGGACTTGTCGGATCGCCTTGTTGAAAATGGGCACCGACATCTCCTTGGCCTCGCGTATCTGATCAATTTTCTTCCAATTCATCGGAATGTCCAAGGTGCTCAGGATAGCCACTAAGGCGTTACCTTCCATTTGCACTTTTTCAAACAAACCGTTGAAACCCATTAGTAACATTTGACCTGGCGTTAGACTTTCCTCTTGATTCAAATCCTGAACTTCCGCCTGTCGCGACAGTAACGCCTCGAATCGCAATCTTATGTTATTCACTATATTTTGTACTACCGCATGGGGGCTCTCCATCTCCATCACAGTGAACCGGAGATGCATCTCAAGCTGCGCCAAAATATCACCGAGCGGTATTCCGGTCAGTATTATAATCTCGTCGAGTTCGCTTATCATCCGCATGACACTCGGCTCCTCCGTGATGATAGTCTTCATCGCTTCTGGCAATATGATAGTTTGAAAGTTGTAATTGAGATCCTGTAGACCCTTGTAAATACAATCGGCGCTTCTCAGGCACTTGAATATCAGCGCAATCTTGGGATCGGTATTGTTCATCTTGTGGCTCTCTGGTATCAGCGCGATGAACTCGACAATCAACGACGACACCAGACGCATGTCGTCCAGGAACCAGTCCCCCTCGCGGGATGTAAGATCCACTAAGCAATCTCCGGCGCACTTGGCAGCGCCCTCCATCATCAAATATCGCATGTTCAAGGAACAGAGCGCGGTGATATTGACACATTCGAACGCTTTCTCCGCACCCTTTTCCCGCCGCAAAAATCCGGTAATTTGTGCTCTTGACTCGGCATATGCCTTCTCAATTCTATTGCCGGCTTCCGGCAAGCCTTGGGATACTGTCCTCTCATAAGCTTTTTTGTATCTTTCGCTAGACTCATTCAAGATCACTTCCATTTGATACGAAAAGGTTATTATCT